GTTTCAACTACAATAATTAGCTTGCAATGAAGTGATTATTAATTTTTTGTTTTTCATAGAGAAGAATATACCTACACTCCGGAGAGCGCTTGTTTTTTCTACAGACGATGAAATCTTGAACTGGAGGCAAGACTGACGAGGTAGCGGCTTTACTATCAATTTCCAATCAACTACCTTTGCGAGGCTAGTAAATGATTAAGGCTGATGAGCCGAAGACACGCAGAACGTACTATACGGCCCCCCGGGTCCACCCAACCTCGGCCGACGCCGCCAACGCCAATCCACCGCCAGCCCATCCGCGTTCTAGGCATCACTGTTTACTGCGGCTCAGCAGCTCTCATGCTTACCTACAGCCACGCGCAGAGAGCTCACAGCCCTGGGGCACTACCATTGCACGAGCCTATACTGAATACCGGGCTCAACTTTGATGCTGCAAGCCATCGCAGCAGAGCACGATGAGAGTGAGCGGCAATGTGATGCGAGCTGTTCGGTTACCCTGGCTGGTACTTCTCCTCTGATCCCTGCACCTGCTACAGAACCGAAATGTTTCGAGCGTCTCCTGTTGAAGCAGCAGCCACGACCGGCTCCCTAAAAGCCCCGGATCTGCAGACGATCCTTGGTCAACGCTTCCTGGCGCTACATCACTCCAGCAGGTACTCCTCCCGGCGAATCCGAACAGCCCAATCCCCTCGCCCGATCGGTACCACCACTCCCAACCAGGATGTCAGCAGCAGCGTCAAGATTGATTTTAGACCATTTTAGTTTATCATGCTATTTTATATTTTGTATCAGATACATAAAAATATAATTTATATATTTCTTAATTCTGTGTGTGATATTATATCTGTATATAATGTCATTTCACCAGGTCGAAAAAATTTGGTTTCATAATGAATATTTAATTTTTTCTATTTTTTTTCACTTTGCCGACCGATTGCTACCAAAATTTAAATTTTAACATTTTACAATTTGCGAACCACCGAATTTTAAATTGCGATTTTTCACTTTTGCGACCGATTTGCTACCAAAAATTAAAATTTTAAATTTACAATTTGCGACCGAATTTTAAAATTGCGACAGATTTTTTCTGCGACCATTTGCGACAGAATTTATAAATGAAACACAACAAATATTTGCGACCGACAAAATCATCGGTCGCAATCATCTTTGCGACGAGCGATTTTGCGACCGATATCTATCGGTCTCAGATCGGTCGCTAAGTGAAATTAGCGACCGATTTTTGCCAATCGGTCGCAAAATGGCATTTTTTTTATGGTGGGGGATCTGTCCATGGTATAGGAACTGCAGCAGACTACTTTTTGTTTTTTTTTTTTATTATACTGATGCAGTACATGCTGCTGTTGAATTGCTCTAGGCATTTAGAGATATGGATTTATGCTTTTGGCATTTTTGGATTTCTATTTCTTTTTTGTGTTATATAAATACTCTGCAAATGCTAGAGAAAATTGATGATATGTCATTTTGATATATGCACTTAGATCCTTTTTTATTGTTTTGTTCATGGTCATAGATGATCATTTGTTCTTTGCATTGACATTATGACTACTTCAATGATAATGCAATATGTCTTTCAAGTTGTTGTCTCTACTTAGTAACCTCAAGCAATTTACCATACTCAAGAGATTTACTTTGATAACAAAATCACAAATGATGAATGCCAAAACATAAACATAAAATATGATTTCATTAACTGCAAACTACCAAATTGCATACAATGCTATTGCCATAAAAACCTGAAAACTTAAGTCCTAAAATACCAATAGCTGCCTATCAAGACAAAACATCTACTATGCACCTAACACCATACTACAGGCCAACATTTATCACTGTCATACATTATAAAACCTACCTCCACATAGCTACTTCTTATAAAGTCATTACATTACAATTATAACAACCCAAAATCCATGCTCCCTACAACAACCATTTTACAACTTCAATACTAGAGCAACAACAATAAAAGTAAGACAAACCATCTTCAAAAGCTTCACACATGTAGCCATCCCCTCAATCTTTCCCATATTCCTCTTGTTTTCCTCCTTTAAATGATATACCACATTTTTCATATCTAGCAAGTCTCAAACCATAGAATTCCAAAGTTGAAATTTAAAATCACTCTCACTTGTAAGAATTGGATGACTTGCAATCTCAACACCATCTCTCCTGCTTGTCACAGCCATAGAATCGACTGGCTTACACCAACCAAGAAAGGTATCACATTCATTATTTTGACAATAATAATATAGTTTGTTCCTAGTTCTGCTTTTCTCTGATGTGCAGATGCCTACCTTTTTTCCACATCTGCACACTTTGTAGAAGAACCTTCCCTTGCATCCACTCTCTGCTGAGCTTGAGGTGCTCATTTCTTTCTCCTAAAATCAGAGGAAAATGCAAACCCTAGCCCACCCCTCCTTTCAGATGAATTAAAAACAAATACTATAGTAACTTATCCACGTGTGCAAATAAGGGTATTCTTGTATTAAAATTATATTCTCTCACATTTGACTACCCGTTTTACCTATGTTTAATGGTTTTTAGGAAGGAATTTGGATAAAAGGATGGTTTTGCCAGAAGGAAGTGAAATATACAGGTACTTTAATATATTTCTAAAAATACGAGGACTGACTAATTGTTTTTCGCAAAACATAAGGACCATACTGTATTTTTCCCATTATATAATTTGAAAAAGGATGAGTAATATTTTGCGAGTGGGTTGAAATGTTTCTTTTTTTAATGGAATTTGAAATGTTATTTCATTTTATGAAAGAGTGTTTTGAAAATAATATGAATATATTTTGTTAATGTAGAAATTAGAAAAGTCATATGTAATATAAATAATTAGTCAATTTCTCTTCATTATTGGATGTTCTATCGAGACATATAAGTGGAACTTATCTACATCCGGCGTATGGATACACTATACAAGACTGAAGCTAGACTTTAAAATTTAGAGGGACCAAAATAAATTTTTCAAAAATTAGGAGACTAAATTGAAGGGAAAAAATTTTTATACTAAATTATAAAGCAAATTCAAAAAATTCTAAAGTTTGGGCTCCCCCCAATTCCCCCTCCCTCCGCCCTTGCTACCATATACGCTAAACCGATAATAATAATTTTTTTTTAATCAAAAGCAGGTGTTTTGACCATACATGGAAAATAAAAAAATAACATTTTTTAAAAATTCTTTTTTTGATTGGTTTGATATATGGGTGGTCTCATATGGTGTATGCATGCAAGTCTTAGGGGATGTATTGAATTAGGACTCATTTAGATTTTAACAGATTTTAAAATTTCAATGGCATTCAACCTAGATTTTTTTATAATATATTAAAATTTTGTGGTATTCAATTCAGACTCTCATAAAATTTATAAAATTCTGATAAAATATTCAATTATGACTTTTAATGGTATTCAAAAATTACTGATTTGGAAGATTTTTATAAAGTTATTGATTTCGTTGGATTTTAAGGTGTTATATATAAATAGAAGCGTCATTCACAAATTCATCCTACAACCTGAAAATTTTATTGGATTTTAGAGTGCTAGGTCTACATTTTTTAATTTTCATTTTAACCTAAAAAATAAATATATTTAAACTTACGATTTCCCAACGAGATAGTCGTTAAGGGGTGTGCAAACTTACCGACCAAACATCGAACATAATCATTTTGGTTCTGTTCGATCAACTAAATCAAAAAATGTCTATCGTCGGTTTATTCAATTTTAACCGAATTGATTATTTGGTTCTAGTCGATTTCATAGAAATCCATCTGTTGAGCTTAAAACTGAATTGAAGTGGAAAAATTGATCAAAATTGACCGAACTAATTGGTTCAGTTCGGTCTATTGAAAAAAAAAATCGATTTCTATTTTTTGATCTCAATTCGATTCGATTGGAATCAAACCGACTACTTGCCCCCCATAATAGTCGGTGTCCAGGTAAGGGACATAGCCTGTGGTCTTCCGACCACATTGTAATTATTCTACGAGCGGAGGATGGCTGACAAGGACACTGGCCAATGCAGAATTTTCACTATCCATAGCGGTAAGGTTTTAACGAAGAAGAAAATAATTCTAGAGAAGATGACCCATTTTTTGGTCCCTCATTGTTTTTTAGTTTTTTAACTGGATTTAAAAATCTTTTAATTTGTTCAATTAGGTCCTAAAATTAATTTTGATTAGATATATAAAAATCATTATAATTTCATCAAAGTCAATCAAAATATATATAAAAAAAAGTCTCATTAATTCGATAAAAAACTCTATCTAGAATTCTAGTGGAATCTGTGAAACTCTTGAGAAATCCTTTAATTCCATCAGACTCAACAATTCTTTTAAAATCTAATACAATCCTAATCTAATACATCCCTTACCCTTTAATTAGATTAGAGTTTTCAATTATCCTAAGTTAGTAACCTGAATTAAAAAATAAAAGGAAATAATAACTAGACAATAGGATTTGAATTTTCATAAATCAGAATAATTTTTTTTTAAGAAAATCAAAATCAAATCTTCTAGAAATAATTAAAAAAATAAAATCAAAATAATGGAATTAATTAAAATTTTGAAAGATATATATAGAATATATCAAAATAAATTTTTATATATAATACTAAATAAATATATTTTATATAAATATGCATAATTTTTTATTTGGTTATTTTTATTTTTTAATTACTAAAATCAAACCAAATCGAATCATTAAAAAAAGTTAAACCAAAAATTAGTTGTATTTATTTATTTATTTATGTTTGTAAAACTGACTGTTAAATTTTATTTTCAATTAACAGAAGAATTTGCCGAGCCCTAATTTTGTAGGCCTCCACACCAAAAATTTCTTCTGCAAAAATCAGTAGCGTCAGTGTCAGCATACATACAAAATGGTTCTAAGGTACAATAATAATAATAAGAAGAAGAAGACCATTGCCACAAGGAAAGACCATTGTTTACAACCAAAATATAATAATAATAATAAATAAATAAAAAAAGAGAGAGAAAAAGACCATTGTATTTTCGATGAGGTAGAAGAATTACAAGGAAAGAAAGAAGAAGAGACAAGTAACCCATCCCACCACTTTCCTATACTTAAAATATCACAGTAAGTAAAAATAAAAAAAAATTAAAATACACAAATAAAAACAAATTTCCAATAAAGAAAAATCACAAATATACATACATACATACATATAACGAATAACAAATCTTCAATTTTTTTTTAATATATATAATCATTGATTAATTGATTTTCACAAATATGACATAATAATTTACTTGATCAAGGCTTTGCTGGTTCTGCTTCCTCCACTTTGGTGGCGGTGGTGGGCTCAGCTGCAGGTTCTGCCACCACCGCTTCTGTTTTCTCAGCCTCCACTACTACCTCCTCTTTTTTCTCTTCTTCCACTACTATTTCTTTTTCTTTGCTACTTGTTTCCTCCACTCCAGAAGCTGGTGGCTCCGCCTCCGCCGTCTTCTCTTCCACTACAATGAAGGTAGAAACCTTCTCAAATATGAAGAAAACTGGACCTGAAACATAGGCTGGTCCATGCTTTGATGATGCTTCTGATACATGCTTTGATCCTGGAAAATCTGTACACATACAATAATATCACAAAATAATAACAAAAACAATAATCATAATAATAATAAATAATTATTATAAAGAAATACATACCAATTTTAGCAAGGTCATCAAGGAACTTTTGAACTAAAGAGGAATGTTTCTTTAATCCTGCATCTTTAGGCTCCTTAATTAAGGTCTGTTTCAATTTAAAATCACAATAAAAATAATATTAGAATGAATTAAATATAATTTTCCATTTCTTTAATCAACTTTTCTGCTTCCTTCTATATAATTAACTTTTTTTTTTTTAATTAATAAGATTAACCTTAATTTCAGTTGATGATGCTTCATAGATTTCTATCACTTTAGGTTGTAGCTCACTCTTCTTCTCCTCAAACTCCTTGTTGATGTCTTCCTAAAACAAACAATAAACACTATTTTCATATATACTATGAATTACTATACATATATATATGTATATATATGAAATAAAAATATGAGAAAAAGACCTTAGAGTCATCAAAGGACTTTGAAGCTTCAGCAGCAGCAGCTTTCTTTGCACTGTCTTTCTCAAAAACTTTCTTGATCTTTGGAAGAACTTTTGATTTCCAATAACCCATATTTCTCTCACCTTTTTTCCCTTCCTTCTTCAAGAAATTAATTAAATCTGAAAAAAAAAACACAAGAAAAATACAATATATCAAGATTCTTGCTGTTTCTTCGAGAATCTTTCCAAGAAAATAAATATGAAGAAGACAAAGATTTACAAAGGGTTTTAAATTTTAATTATACCTATTATAAGTATAAATGAAAATAAACATCAACTGCACATATAAATATGTATACATACACAAAAAAATAATAATCATACATACATGAAGAATTAAGCTAAAACAATCAAACTCTATCTGTAATTTAGAATATGGAATCAAAGGGTTAAGGGTCTACCTCAATGCAACTGTTACAGCCAACCGGATATATCTCTGCTACTAATCAAGGCATATATATAAAGCTGGCACTAAATAGCCCTTTGTTTTCCTATTTAATTACCAAATATACCAGCTGGCTTGCTTATTCGAGTAGGTTTGAAACTTGCTTATTCAAGTAGGGACCATTATTTGGTTCAAACTTAATTTTTTAAAACCAAAATTATTTGTTTCAGTCAAGTTTATCATTTGGAGGTTCTTTGAATTTATAGAATGTGAAATCTCATGAATTTTAGAATCTATTAGAGTTTTACGTTATCATTTAGTTTGAAAATAAAATTTATAGAATTAAAGATTATTTTTAAAATAAAATTAAGTAATTTAACTTTTATTATTAATTTAATCTTTTTTTTCTATAACCATCAGTATCTTAAATGATAATTTATATACATAAGACTCGAATTTCAGACATTTCATTAAAGGAGAAAGAGTCTCCTCCAACCAACATTGATATTAATTTTATATTTTTATAAAAAAAAATTATAAATTAATAAAATTTTTAATTTTTGTCATTCAAAAATTTAAACAACTTCTTGGATATTTTTTTTAGACTTATGATGTCTTAATGATTTTATTTGTTTTCTTTAATTCATAAATTGAATAAAATGAGATGATGAAAATTTATTTTATAATTAATTTTTGTTATATTGAAATCATTTACGAAATGACTTTGTCTGCCCTTTTATCTCATGATAACCTATAATAAATTCAAGCCTCATGCAAAGGCTAGTTAGGAAAATAACAAGGCATTGTAGGGGTGAAATAGGAAAAGAGAAAATCAGACAGCTGGCGAAAGGCGGCAAACATCAAAAGTGGGACCAGAAGCAAAATAGTGTTTGCAAATATTGATGTTGATCTGTAACAATGCTTTGGGGCTTGGGTTTTTGTCATTCTCTTACAACGCTCACGTGGCTTCGCTGGTACATCAATCACGCCGTCAATGACTAGGCCTTTTTATTATTATTATTTTTACTCTCTCGTCCTCACAATTTGTATTTTGATTTAACTTGTACATAAAATTTAATTAGTATAGTTAAATTATAATAATTATTTTTTTAATATTATGCTTATATTAATATCTATAAAAATTTAATTATTTATGTTAAATTATTTTTAAAATTAATTAAGTATTTGATTAAATAGAATTCTATGAAGATTAAAATTTAATATATTAATTTCATTTCCATCAAGATTTAATTAATCATAATATGGTAGTATAAAATTTTATTCGAAGATTAAAAGTTAATATATTAATTTTATTTCTATCAAGATTTATTAATCATAATGTAGTAGTTGGATTATTATATTTATGACAAAGATATATATTAAATAAGGGTAAAATAGTAAATTTAAAATATTATCATTTTTTAAAAAAGAAAATAGTACAATAATTTAGGATGGATTAAAAAAAAAAAGTAAGACAAAATTTATGAGATAAACAGAACATTATTATTGTTATTAATAAGTGAAAATTGTAATTATAGATATTAATTTACTTTAATTTAATTGATTTTCTTATAAATAAATACTCAGGTTTCGTAACTAAGATTTCAATCAATATAATGAAATTTTCATGACTAAAAGAACACAATAGAAATTGGATAATGAGTTTGTTTTTGAATATTTAAATTGAACGACTAAACAAATTTTCTCACCGTTTCTTAGTTGAATTATCCAAACACTTGTTGCTTGTTAGAGTTTATAAGATATCTAATATCCTAATACATAAATTTGACTTCAATTTTAATCGATTTCTTGTGGCTTTTGAATTTTGCGGGAGTTTAATAATGATCGTGCATTTTCACATTTTAATAATAATCATGCCCCTTACTAAAATGAAATAACTTTACAGGGTTCAATCATGATCCTACACTTTCACATTTTATTTTGGCGAGAAACATAATTATTATTAAAATGTAAAAGGGAAATGTCATAATGGGAATCCTGTAAAATTTAGAGTCCACAAGAATAATATTTAAAAGTAAATAGTCAAATTTATGCCAATCAGTTGTGGCACGATTGGTCTTCCCACGTCTTGTCGAAGATGTGGGGAGTGAGAAGTCTCGAGTTTGAGTCCTCTGTATCACAAAATTATCACTAATTTGGTGAATGTGTCCTCTCCACTATAAAGTTATTACCAATTTGGTGAATGTTATTCAAAGGGAAGGGCTACCCACTGGTGTGTAGCACAATGTTATTCTGGCTCATTGAACTTTTCAAGTATAAAAAAAAAGTCAAATTCATGCATTAATCCGATATTTAATTGATAGAGCAAAATACACGTGGATCTTTAAATTATAATCTAATTAAACTTACATCAATTTTTAAAAAAATTTACGTTATTCAAACTTATTATCTGGTCCTTTCGTCTAAAACTGAATAATTTATCATTATTAGGCACAATTTCTAAATGAAAGAATCCAACAATGAGTATGAATGAAAAGTCAGGGGTGTTATAATAATTTTTTGAAAATAGAAAAATAAAAGTATTAATTAAAATATATGAACTTAAATGTACTTTATTCTTTATATATATATATATATATATATATATACATTCCTTATATATAATATATATAAAATATAATTATAAATTCCATCCCTGAAGTTTTCACCTGAAAACTCTGTAGGCCATAATATACCCACAAAAGGCCAACTTTGATAGATAGATATATTCTATATATATATATATATATATATACATTCCATCCCTGAAGTTTTACCCTGAAACTCTGTAGGCCATTCCCACAAAAGGCAACTTTGATGATTAGTTTTCTCATTTTCGATATATGATTCGATTCATTCATGTGTCCCACATTCCACTTCTCATAGCTGGTCTGCCATCCTATAAGCTAGCCAGAAGTTTTGCCCTACCTATCCTCTTAGGATCACTTTGCCAGGTTGTATGTCACTGCTCCAATTCAAATCCACATAATCTTCACTAATCTTTTTGCAAGTTCATCTGTTAATCTTCGGGACATCGTGACTTGAGGCATGTCACCGGTTTGGGAAACTTGGATATCATCATCCAGAACCACAACTTCATCATCATCTTACATGTCAAAATCATGTAACACTATATTAACAAATTTAACTATATTAACAAAATTTTATTAATCTATGTCAAAGTAACACTAGACATACGTAGTTTTAAAAGTTTTAGCTATAATGCAATTTATTCCACTTAATGACAAACCCCAGCTTTTAATATGAAAAAGAATGTCCATAACATGTTATTTTCTTGATTGATCGATGGAGGTTGTACTTAATTATACCAACCCTATGGAAATCACTCTTGTGGGAAAAATGCATACATTATAGTGAGAATAAAAAATGTATCGCCACCTAGAATGCACATGGGCTTGCTTCAACACAATTTGGGATTTGGCTAAAAAACAAAAGGGGTCACAGACAAACAACATGGATTAGCTAATGGTGGGGTTGATGATTGATCAAGGATTTCTGTCATAGTTATTTAATCTAGCTCCACTCCGCGGGTCAACTTGAAAAATCAGTGAACTTATTTTAAAAGTGCGTCGGTTTTGCTTTTAAACCATGGAAAAAAAAAAGAATAGAATTGGACCAATTGATCTGTGGTTGAACCGGTTGATTGCACAGACCCGATTGATCTAGACCGATTTTTGATATTTTTAATTATTTTTATTACATTATAACTATTAAATTAATATTTATTAATATTCATTACAATTACCTAATAATGAAATTATTGACCCGTTAGTTATACTAATGATCCATCCACTCGATTCTTTAACCAGGTCAATGTTGGAACCGGATTTAATAACACCAATTTCTATTATTTGACATAACATAAAAAGATCATGGTATAATTAATATTGGATTAGTTTAGTGTGTGTATAGTAGTAAGGGTTAATTAAATAGATGACAGTTTAATTATTGACAAAATCTTAATTAGTAACAGGAGAATTGAATGTTTGCTTTTGCGGACAAAATATGTGTGTGTTTTGTAGCTTCAACGTATCTGTCAACAACCATAATATTAGGTGGCTTTATAAGACAGAATCTCTTATTATATTTATTGAAATCCTTTGTAGGGGTGGATATAATTGTAAGGCTGATGTCCTAAGACCGTTTGGTCCACCTTTCCCCACTTTGTATATAAATTTATATTTAATTTAATTTTAATATTTTACTGTTTATTAAGATTATTTTTGAATTAAAAAATATTAAGATTATGTTTGCATTGTGTGTTTCCTATTTCAATAATCGAAAAAAGAATAATTTATCATATCATTAAAAGCTAAGTAAATATCTTTAATTTAATGTATTTTGAAATTAATATAAATAATAACTTTTCACATTATTAAATTCTATGAACCGAGTAATTTTTCATATTATAAAAATTATATAAATTACCATTTAACATGTACTAATTCTCTAATATTATTATGTTAATTAATTATATTTAATCAATTAATTTTCTCCCTCTGGGGACTAATTTGGTCAAGTCTGCATATTAGATTTTAATGGGATTTTCTTCCCTCCCCCAAGATCGAATTTGGAAACACATTTGGAACCTCTGGATTCCTCAGCGTATTCATTTGTTCTTATGGAAAGTGGCTCATTGGCGATTGATGACGAACGTCCAAAGGCATAGCATACGATTTTCTGATATTTCTTTGTGCTCTTGTTGTAGGAGGGAGAATGAGTTGCTCATTCATGTGTTTAGGGATTGCCAAGATGTCTAGAAAGTCTAAATTGATATTAATGTTATTCAACTTTTCCCAGATTTCTTTAACTTGGACTTTACTGCTTGGCTTAAAAGCAACATGTCGAATCGCCTAGATGTGGTAGGGGGATGTGCGTGGAATATAGTCTTCTCTGTTATGCTTTGGAGAATTTGGAAATAGAGATAACAAAGGGTCTTTGATAATTCTTCAAAGACGGATCATCTTCAGATCGGGTTAGTTATGGAGTATGCTCTTATGATTCAGAAGGCTGGGCTGCCTGTATCCAACGACCATGGATATCAACATCCGACCCCAGTTTTATTTCGGGGAAGGCTATGGTACGGGCTAGATTACTATTAACTGTGATGGTAGCGTAAATCGTCAGTCTGGTCTTGTAGCGTGTGGCGGCATTTGTCGTAATAATGAAGGCATTTGGGTTACTGGTTTTGCTGCTAGTTTAGGAGTTTGT